ATCAATGCGAAATTCGAAGGTAAGCAGTCTCAAAAACCACTTGTGAAAGACAGAAGCCTCAAATTGTAAAGACAAATTCAATTACTAGAAGTGTAATTAAAGTAAGCTTGTCTCTTGTTGTTTTTGCGGACTCCTACTGAAATACCGAATCACGACCTTCCGGGGAGAATTTCCCGTAAAAGTCAAAATGTCATATTTATTCTATTTTGAAGTCCACCATGTAAATATTGACATTCGTTATAAGGTATGGACACATAGAAAGTACATCCCTATTCAAAACAACTCAAATGCAAATAGTCTCCTCAGTTACGTTTCCCTACGACATCTTGAAATGTAGCCGAGCCTTTGCATTAAAGCGAGACAACCGTTGAGCGTGCAATGATAGAAACCTGTGTATAATTGTCTGTAGGTGTGAAAGAAGGTTTCTATCAATGTACGCTCAACGGTCGTCTCGTTTCGATGCACGGCTATCTTTCAAGATGGCGCAGGGAACCGTGAAGAAGACTATTGTATACTTTATTCAACAGGCGAAGACTATTCCCTGAACGTCCCCGTATAGTAAATATAGGGGAGTATCCCTCAGGCTCGACCTTTTGTGTGTTGTTTTTGTTTTCTTGAGTTGTTTCATTAATGATTTTATGTCGATACAATACAATCCTCAATCAAGACGTCCAAAAACGGATTTAATTTACTTTTAATTTTCATCGCGAGATTTCAGTCTTGTAAGTCTAAACCCGCCCGAATTAACATATTTAAGTCAGACAGTGGTTCTAAGAAGTAGACTGTGTACCTGTGGACTTCAAATCAAGAATTCGGAAAAAATGTGCTTTTTGTTATTGATTACCTGTGGCATTCGCATTTTTAAAAAGGTTTGCCCTCCAATATCGGTGTCAAGTGTAAATTAGGAACGAAATTGACATAAATTACTATTTTGCCGGCATGGAACATACATTAAAGATTTGGACCATCTACGGTCAGTCAACGGCTCTATACAGTACTAATTAACAGGTATGTTGATTATGTCTATAGCTAGTTATCATTTCCCTAGGAGACACGTTTGCATAAAAACTTTTGTTACCTTTCATGAATAAACAATTAATGACCTGTGAACTTTAAACGATCATAATTGTGTACCAAATTAGTAAATGCGACTTGTAAAGATTGAATGGATGATTGCTTTCGAATAARCTGACCGTTGTGTTCGACTGATCAAGGTGGCTAACAATTTCGAACCCAGAGCCCGCGTTACTTTTAGTCTGCGACAAGAAACGAGAGCTCTGGCATAATCCCAATCTCGAGCCCAGAGTCTTCACGGCTAATGTCAGCGGTATGCTGACCAGTCGCCGGAAAGACTCTGGAGGAATCGACTGGATTTGCGACGCTTTTCCGTCGCAAATTATGCAAATTAGTTCAGTTTTGTTTTTGCCGCTTTAGNCATTGCTACTGCGCACGCTTTCTGAGCACGCCAAAACCGGAAGTTGTCACGAAATTGCATCACGCAAAACAAAGATGGCGACCGCTCTTGTTATGTATTTGTGAGGTTTTGTACGTACTTTTCTGAACTTCTACTTGTATGCAAAATGTCTTCACGTTCAAAAAATGGGAGATTTACTAGTGCTAAAGAATTGATGAGGCGAAAAAGTGTTCAAAATGCTCTAAAAGGTCGTTGATTGGCAGAAAAAAGTCTCTCGCAATTCAAGATGGCCTGCAAAATCTTAAATTTCGACACTAAATATCTCGACAACGAACCCGGTAACCCMAATTTCTATTTATCTTAAAAGAAGTCTACTTGGAAAAAATATAACATATGTGAAAGAGGAAAAAACTACATTAGAGGTTTCTGAAATATAGCAGTTTTAGCTGGAAATGACACCTCTTCTTGACGTCGAATGTGGAGGCTTGACACGACAAAAATCCTAAAGAAATCAAAAATCACATCATGCAATGTTTCAAAGTCTCGTAAACAATATTAACAATTATCGACCTCAGCTTTTCTGGAAAAATTTGGATCAAWTGATATGTGTTTTATATTTTTCGAGAACTTTTTTGGCAGACGGCATCGACCCTTTTTCGCGCGCTTTCTTTTACAATTTTGGTGATTTTGTGCAAGAATTATCTCTAAAATGAAGCCGGTGACCTCCACTTTTTTATCGCTTTTTTGCAAGTTTATGTCATCGCGTATTTCCCCCAAAACTTTCATCGAAGTGACATCACGGAGTCCAATGCCCACGAACGTCCTTAAGCAAGTTTGCCGGACAATGAAAACATGAACTAAACTTGCCTATTTTCTGCCGGGTACGAAATATCAATTTTACTCGAAAAACCAATATAACTGAATCTTCAAAATTAATCAGGCTCCAATTAGCGCGACATCAGAGCGAACATACTTTACTTGTTAATATAACCCTGCGATCGGAAAAAAATGTTTTTGCAACAACAAAACCTTCCGGAGTGGTAGGGTCAAAACTGTCTTTATGGTCATCCGCCAATGAAATTGCATCGAAATATTAGCGGAGCTCCCGCGCATGCCGAAGCACCATGCCTAAGAAAAAATGGTATATCCATCCGAGGCGGGTTTGTAGTACGTATTCCATATATGGCACAAACTAACAAGCGAATAGAAGCACCTAACAAGCGAATAGAAGCACCTGACAAGCGAAAAGGGTCCATACTTTTTTTCACTTGTATATTTTTCTACAGTTTTTTATCAACTTATTCGAACTTTTTAGCTACGCCTTAA